CATTGAGTTCAAATTTTGACACGACATACAGACCGCTTCAAATGTTGTTTTTATTTATTTTTCGAGTCGGTTTTGCTCCTCATCTCTCACGACTGCAACCACAATATGTCGCAGCAAAGCATAGCAGGGTACTTTCTCTCTATAAAAGATGCAAGATTAGTCTGATGTCTAAAATTGAAATCTTTTAAATAGGAGAAGTATCTGCGGTATTTGTGCTATTTCCGGACCGATACGACTTTCAAGAAAAAAAGCGTACTCCTTCCTCAAAGGCCGGCAACGCGCTTGTGACTTTTGAGTTGCGCCGGTCATGTCGGTAGTCGCTTTCGATCAGGGCCCAAATTCCGCTATTTTAATATTCTATCAATAGAGTGTCGATGGAGTGTCGTCGGAATAGTTTGGCACTTTTCGCTAACTAAATAAAAGACCAATGGCCTCCCGATGAGTTGTCACTGATATAAAAAGTTATCGATGTCTGTCTAAAAGTTGGGTAAACGGTAGTCTATAAATATTTGACAGAATTGAGTTGTTTCAATGACACGACGTTGGCTTCAGAGTGAATAATAATGTTGTTAAACTACCTTTGAAGTCTAAACTGCCATTAATAAGTCACTTCTTTTTTGTGGGTGTTATGTGCTTATTTATTTATTTACGTTAATTCAGTCGATAAGTAAGTAAACTGCGTAAACAAATATGCTTCAACTCGCAACTTTACTGATGCAAATATTAAAAGCTGCTCACAACAAAGATCGTCGAGTTAAAGAGGTTTCGAAATCGCTAATATGCGAGGGCACATTTTTAATATATTTCTGATACATTGTAAGTGCCAGAATCATATCAAACTTTGGTAAGCCAAAGTGCATTCCATAATGTGACACAAACTAGTTTCAAGGACTATAAGACAAGTGATCAAGGCATTGAATCATCCTACCATTTGTCACACGATACCGATAGAGCATCAAGAAAGGAATGACATAAATGCCAAGTAAGTTTATACCTTTAACGTTTTAATTTATCTAAGTTTAAAGAACTTTTACAAGATAATATGCATATATATCTAAATAGATAGACAGAAAACCCTTTATTGGTACACTGTTTTACAAGTAGTATTGTACATAAAAATATCAAACATGTATTGTACAATGGGTGGCCTAATCGCTAAGAGCAATCTCTTCTAGGCAACCTCAGGATGGATTAAAATGTTTTGGAGTGACAGGGTTACCATGGGTTACCAACACTTAATGGGTTTAGCTGGTCCCGGTGAAGATCATTCATTTTTAGCAGGTGAGTACATAGGTACTTTATGATGGTAGTATCTAATAACTTTGACTAAAACAAAATAAATTTATTTTATTTTGGTTTAAGCTTAATACCCTATTTGTTTGAAACCATTCGTGTAATATTTCAGTTTTGTATCAGTCAATTAGTAGCCAAGTAGTTTTAAAAATGTATTTTTATAATTATATTAAAGAATTTATTTTAAAATGTTAAAACTACTTTATGATACACCTTGTGCAAGTGGATGATCACTCCAATTTTAAACAACACTTAAAGAAGTGCAGAGTTTTACAATTATAATTTGCATGTAATTGCACCCAATACTCTTGAGCGCTGTACTGTAGTGTTTCAACGCCCCAGGTTGAAACACTAAAGATACTGAGTTCAGGTGTTGATGAAGTTAACTCTATGAAATGAATCTCATGGTTTATATTTTTACATATTAATAATAACAATTATAGATTTTAAAGCAGTGGCTCAATGAATGAAATACTTATTATTTTGTGTGCTATTGAAACGGAAAACTAAGAAAAACAACATAGTCATTGTTTTTTTTTGTAATTTGAGGTAAAGCAATAGATCATGGCTGTTTAATTTCTGAAAAAAAAAAGTTATCAATAATATTTATTTTCAGGCTTGCTGCTTGAGCACTTCACTTCCGAATATGGCAAAGGAACATGTACGACATTGGGGACACCTTCTAAATGGTTTCCTAACATCTCTGTCCATAATACAATATAACTACTCTTATAGTAGTGTCAAGATGATGAGAGTTGCTGGGCCATCTCTTGAAAACAATGAAGTTCCTCTTAGGATATCAAAATATATGTCGGCGCCCGCGCGCCGCCTGAGCGAAACTGTAAACAACACGTGCACCGATCACGCCACCGAGCGCGTCATTCGATGCCCCCACTCTCCCCACTACTAGATTTGCCGGTATAAAAGACTTTGTACAGGTAAATTAGCTTGGAGAAATTTTTGCGTTTGTAGTAGTGTATGTATGGACAGCGTAAACTGGTTTATTCTGGTTTTGTGCGTGTTTCCACTTTCCACTATCAAGTGACGATTTTTTGCTTTAGATTGAAATATCTCGGAAACGGTGCGTCCTAGGCCAAAAATAACAAAAATTTTGACGCCCCCGTAGACCCCCCGGAGTTTTAAAAACCTAGATGAAAGGAAAAAAAAAAATTAAATATCGGTCTCTCCTCTTTGAAGTTTCACTTCTATCGTGTGTGAATCGCACACACACCTTTTTTTTTATAAAGTCAAAACCTTTTTCTTTAAAATAAAAACTTGTTTTTATTGTAAACAAAAATCAGAGTGTTGCTAGGGATAAGTATAAAATTAAATAGTAATGTTAGGATATCGAAACATTTTTGTATAGGCCAGAACGATATAGTGGAAACGCGCTCTAAGATCTAAGTAATATACACACCACTACATATGCGAAAATTTCTCGAGACTAATTTCACTGTAACGATCATTTTGAAAGCAGTCTTGGCTCTGGCGTGGCTCGGTGCACTAGCTGTACCTCGCTGCTAGCTTAACCTAGACACTTCGGATAATTAATTCGTGAAAACTAATTAATTATTATTCCGGGTTATAATTTGGTTTCTGGACTAATTATACCCGATTATTTAAGGCTAATTTATCGAAGTGTTAATTTATAATATAGTCTAGTTTAATGACTAATTAATATCAAATTTTTATTAGTCCTGTGATTTGCTGTTTCTCTGTGTTTGATTAAATAAATTATTATCAAGTTTTAAAAGAACTTCTTTTTTAATTATGACCGATCCTTCTCTTGCATATATTATACTAGTTTCACAATAAAAGTTATGTATATTTACCTTAGTTATTATTTTATTAAATACCAAAAATTCTATAAATTTAATCACCTGCTCTGATTTTTGATTATTATTTTCTCTACGTTCTTTGATTTTTGATTTGTATTCTTTATAAACCTGAAAATAATAAAATAAATATTAACTTACAATAGGATATTATTAAAATAAATATAACAGCGGAGTAGTGAAAAGATTAGAAAAAGTTATAGTCAATTTTTTCTATGAAAGTTATGGCTACTGAAGACTTAGCCTTATACTTTAGTTCTCGCTTCCCTTAACAGTGAAAACAAACAGCATTACAAGGCAATTTGCTTCACTGAGAGTTCGCCATGTCAAGTTGTGTAAAAATTTGCTGATAACGTGGTTGACTATTATGTACGACTATATTTGTAGTATGACTATATTTGTTATTTCGATATTAACTTCTCCTAAAGAAAGAGATTGGTGGAGAGGTGCCTAGAAGAATAAAACAAATTTGTTATATAAATTAATACTCACTACAACGAATTTAGGAGCTTGAATTATAAAAATTCAAAGTAAAGACAATGATGCACTATGTAGTGTCAAACATAATTTTATTAATATTGTGTTAAATTACTTATGTAATTTGTTTACAGAAATAGATAATATAATTTTATTTAATCGATAACATCTAATAAATACGAAAGTAAATACTTACTATTTGTTTAGAAAGCATTTTAATATAGCTGGTACGTTTCGTCAATGATAGATAAGTCAGTGCCACTTTTTTCGTTTGGCAATAGCACTTACAAACAGCCAACGATAATTTAATTAATTACGATGTATTATGTCGTTGTAGTTTTTACATTTGTATCAATAAATATAATAAATTCATAACAACTTTATGATATAATACTTGTATATATTGATCTTACCACTGATAAGCCAATGCCATTCTATTGCCACAGTAAAGACACTGAGTTAGTGTAGACTACCGAAATTTTAACGAATTTAAAACTAGTTTGCCCCCTCTTCCATAAAAAAATCTCAAGTTCCCAAATTTCTCAATACACATGCCATGTGGCATTAACTCCTCCTCGTGCAAATTATAATGCAGGAAGTGAAAAAAATAACTTTTTATTGCTTCGACAATGAAGTCTTGTAAAAATTCTATGTCTTTAGTTTTACTGGTATCTTAATTTTCACTGTTTTTTTTTCAAATAAAATAAAAGAAATCAATTAAAAGATTAAATCTTAATCTTTAAGATACAATACGACCTCATCAAGAATCATTCGCATCATTAACAAGCACGTTTTATACATAAGTATTTTTTTTTAATTTTCTAAGCAACATCACAAAAAAAAGTGTTTTAAACTATTATTTAAATTTTCTTAAAATTTGCACATATACTTATGAAATAAAAAAAAACATAAATAATAATAGAACAATACAGAAAAAATCATGTCTGCCTTATTTCATTCCTAATACTTGTAAATGGCTTGGCTCAGTCCCTTGTTTTCATAATTTGGCGAATTGTATCAGTATGCTAAAATTTGTGTTATTATATACGTATGTTATGATTTCGTTGAAAAATTTAAATTTGGACCTGTTCAAAGTGAAATGACTCTAATTGTATCAATATTGACTAAAAATATGCTGTTAAAAAAATGTTAAAGTTAATGTATTCGAACTTATAACTTCGAAAGCACGAAAAATAATGTGTGCAGTAATTTTATAGAGGTTACAAACTTGAAAAATCATGTGTGTTTGTCATTTGCACAAAATTATCTCCGAAACTATAGTAGATCACAAAAAGCGTACATACATAAATCTATATAGATATACATATAAATCTTATTACCCTAATGGTGTTCTCAACATCTGCAAAAGTAATACATTTAATATAAATGAGATGGTCAGCCATTAGCATTCCTTCTTTTAACAATAAATCTTCTAATTATTGGCTTAAGAACTGCTCTATAATTTTTTGTAGACATTTTAGCAGTATCGTAAATCATTGTTTGGTTTTCATTTTTGTTTTCAGAGTTCAGTTTTAAATTATTTATTCGTGTTTCGATCAAGTTTTGCTTATTATTGTTATACAATTGTCGTACTTCAGAACCATCTACTCCATTATCTGTAAGTATGTCTTCACTGATATGGCCATCAGCAAATTTTTCATTTTCTGTATCCAAAGCGTCTTTAGACAAACTCTGAAATGTAGTTTTTTGTTTGCGATTTTCAGCGATTTCACCTGTCACGAATTTATCTTCCGGGTGGTAAGGGTTATCATAACTAATTTCTGAACCTAACGATCTTCGGAAAATATGCTCAGCTAAGTTTTTTACAATGTTTGAGCTCATAAAACTGTTAAATATTTCAGCTATATCGTCTGAATCCATTTTTAAATTTATAGTTTTTCCATGTATACTACGACAGATTAAAATGCTCACTGGAATTATAGACAAAAGGTTTTATCAAACAAAAACATTAAAAATAATTTAGTATTCCATTTACTTACTAATAAAACGTAGAACACCCATATTCCACGATTACTTTAAGAAAAAATATTGTCGTATATTATTACCGGAAAACTATATTGCTAGTTCATAATAACAGGTTAACCAATTATAGTAATGCGTCTATTAATTAACAATCTTCTTTTACAAGCCGTTTCTCATTAAAAATTGGTATAAAGAACTCACCATGTTTAACACATATTTGTTATTTTGACCTTTTCAACTAAAATATTGAAATTTTTGCAGGCCTCCAAAAATTTATGTCTTTGAACTGTTTCAGAAAATAGTATATTAAGAAAATACTAAGAAACACTAATTAAATTTTAAAGGTTGTGCTAGACAGATGTCATAAATGCTCCTTCCTGAAGGGCCGATTACGCGCTGGTGTCTCCTGAGTTGAAGGCGTTCATGAGCGGCGATAGGCACTTTTCCTGAGGTGACTCACCTGCTAATTGCTCCCTCTTTCATCATAATTATGGCTTGTCTCAATACCCTACTTTATCAGTCTAACCTGTAGTCAAATAAGTAGGAAACAAACTCCTCCCCCACACATTTGATTACGATTATTTAGTTCAGTTTTGTTTTTGAGTATTTAAAATTAGATTAGAAATTTAATGTTGAAATTTATTGTAATCAAATGGATTTAAAAAGATTAATGTTAATTTAGCTGAAATACTTAATTTGTTTATTGTATTGTAGATAGGTAGAGTTATCTTTTTAGTTCAGAAAATTCCTACTGGAGCGGAATTTTTCTTTTATTAAAGATTCAACTATCAGGAATTGATCCATTCCCCCTACTATGCTTCAAAGCCGATTTCTCTTTGTATACCTATATGGGTCATTCCAAATGTGATACACGCTCGTCAACATTCACGTTTCCACAAAAAAATGATGAAATTTATTGCGCAATCGTAACGTTAAAAAAGTTAAATAAAAATATTTTATTATTATTCTGTTCACTTTCATTATTTTGTTATTTTAAAGTCTCTTGTGCAGTTTTTGCTTACGAATAATAATAGGTCTCTATTTATACATATTTGTTCTTGAAATGGAAGAGCAATTCAATTTATATAATTATAGTATGGGTGCGCGATCAAGATTCTTCATATTGCTATTATAAATAAAAAGTTGCGAAAATGCGCCTTAAATTGAGAAATTCTGGTCAAGAGAAAAAAATGCGACAAGTATGACCATGTCGCCAGTTTTTGTTTTCAGCAATTCGTCAATGCAGAAAAATGCCCGCACTCATAACCCCATATACTATTCTCAATGGCCCATCTCCTCCTACTTATTTAACACCACAATTTCATTATGCAATACCCACAACAGAATCTTTCGTTCGACTAACAATCTTCTTCTACTTTGTCATCACTTTTGTTTGTTCACATTACTAGGTTTGTCGGATACTGGGTTTGTCGGCTAGTTGAAAATATTTTGTTGTAATTTTTAATGTAATCAATTCCTGATAGTTGAATTTTCTGGATTTTTCAGGAATTTTTGGCTAATTTGTTTTGATGATAATGATAATGTGAAAGTTTGATGCCTCTGCTATTTCCGAACAACTTGTGTGCTAGTTTTGTCAAACCAGTTGCAAAATTTCGTTTACTTTTTCAGTTACTGATCGTCATAAGCAAAGCCTTTGACGAACGAGGGACCTAGGAGTGTCTAGGTCCTTCTGTCTTTTTAATGTATAAAATCACATATCTTATTTCTTTAGATACTTTACTCCTTTTAAATTTATATTACTTTTTACTAGAGAACGGAATTAAAAATATCTATCAATCTATCTTTGCAAAAAATTCTAAGCAGTAATGTCTCCTTTTAAGCATAGGTACGTTTATTTGAAACAACTGGGTGACTATTCCCTGATATATAGGCATCACTGTCTAGTAGCGTAAAGGACGTAGACTTTTTATATGACCCTCATAATACGAGTATTACAATCACTACGTATCATAACCGTGAAGGAAGAAATCAAAAACCGAGTTGGACCTTAGATTTTAGCTATTTTATGGTACAGAAATCAAATTTATAGTGCAGTGTAATGTGAATATTGAATAGTTGGAGACTAATGTGCTGCTCCTAATTTACTACAGTTTTACAGCAAACAGTACAATTATTTCAATACTCATATCCTGCTTCATTCCCAACTAATACTATTAATGCTAAAGCGATTTTGTTAGTTTATTTATTTTGTTACGCTTTAACATCTTCAGTGCTCAACTGACGTATCTAGAAACAAAACTGTTCCCTAGGGATACTTGAATTTATTAATAAAATGCACATTAACGCGAGCTAAGCCACAGGCAAAAGCAAGTACAACCATCAATAAATGTTTCTAAGCCAGCCCAAACAAAATATTCGTAGTCATTAAACACAAAATAACGTATATTTCGTGTTTGTGGGCGGAATTAGAATTGTGATTAAAAAACCAGTTAGTTTCCTGCAATACAACCATAATATTCTTGTCAGAGCAAAACTTACCATATGAGTGAGTATTCAATGGCCATTTGTTATACAGCACATATAAATAAGTATTATATACTATTGTTAACCCTTATCCATCATCAGTAATACAATAAAAATCCACGTCTTTCGTTCACACGATAAACTATAAAACAAAAATTGCTTCATATTTTATGTTCATCATTGTTGATTAAGAACATTAAGAAGTCGAATATTTGTTTCATTTATTGTAATTATATGCACCACTTTTATGCGCTACTGTACCATTTTCTTAAAATAATTTAATTTAAGAAAAGTACCTGGATGACCCAGCTTTGTTCGGTATTATATTTGTGGTAATTTTTCTAAAAATGAAAGCTATCTAGATCAATTAATTTTCCCCCAAAACCCACCAACCCCGCATACAATTATTCATGAAAATCGTTTTAGCCGTTTCCGAGATTCAGAATATATATGTATATATATATGTATTCGCACACGGTCATTCACCTAGTGTATTTACATAAAGTACTAAACCACAACACAGTAATAAAATGAAAATTTTATGGGAAATATTTGTTGCTAGTCGGCAGGTCGGCACGCAGGAAAACAGACAGGTATCAACTAAATTTGGTGTGACTACGGAAGAGACTTGTATTCATATATTACATACATGTTACATTATTATTTTGTATTTATTTACATAAGATCCGTGACAATTAACAATGGTTTTATAAGTATACGAGTATATAAACCAATAATTATTTTCAAGTGGTGAAATTTCATAAAGATCTTTGAATAAATCTTTACTTAGGATTAGATAATTAATTAGGGAGAATAAATATAGTCGGTTGTGCCTAAACATAAAATTATTAAAATCAATAGTTTCCTCTTGTCTAGTTGTCTAGGGACCATCATCATCATTCAGTAGACCATCCCTTCCATCCCTGTATATGGGAGATAATTCTTTGACCTATGACGCTACGGAGAAACCGTAACATCTAGGCCGATCTATTTGTGTCCAACTCGACTTTGGATTACGGGGGACACGTACCGCTGACATACCGCGGTGCCAGAGCTGTATTACCGAATTACAATTTAGACAGAAATCAGTGCGTAAGGCGTCTTTTCCCTGGACATTCGTAAGTCAAATAGATTTGACAGAACCCCTCTTATGGTACTAAAAATGTGGTCCAGACTTGGAACTGGTTTAAATGAGTGTGTTTCGGGACTCCTAATCTTTAAGCATTTTATAAAGTCATAACCTTGTATTCTCAAAGATAATGGTGCTCCGGTGCTTAGTAGACCACCAATTGCTGTCATTGACCGATATAACAGTGTCCATCAGCTTCTCTTAGCTTCTTGTGTATTTAATGCGACGGTAAGCACAGACAATCAAGACATAGTGAAGGTGTGTGATCAGATCGACCAAGCACCACTTCCGAAATTTTCTTTTTATAGTCTAATAGAAGGAAGGGGACCATGGTCCTCACAAACGGACTCACAAACCGTAGATGGCCCGGGGTCTGTCAAGGTACCAGAGATTTCAGAGAAAAAGAAGCTCAGCTCAATCGTGGCCCACATAATCGTATAAAGACACAGATTTGCGCGTTAGCCGCGAAAAATATATCGTTTTTTATATCAACTCACTTTAAGAGCACCTCCAAACATTCTTACAAAGTTTTCGATGTTTGGCTAGGTTTAGTTTCGTGGTCAATTAGAGGGTAAAACCAAAATAGCTTGGAAGAAATTAGTAGTGATGGAATAATTAGTCTTCACACTCATATTTAATCGTGATTTCTTATGAATTGATTTCTCTTGAATTTTTGTAAACGTATGAATTTGTGGGGACTCCCACATACAAAGAAAACATAAATATACTACAGCGCCATCTAACGAAGACATATCGCACTATGCACTAACTCCTGAATGAGAATTGTCAACACCGTATCGCGATATGAAGAATTCTCTCGCCGAGCTTCACATTCAGACAGCGCGTGTTTTCTCATTCGCATCAGCCCGAAGACTAAACTTAATTTAATAAATCGTCGTGATAAAATATTAATATAACTGCTAATGCTAAATTAACGAAAAATGAACCGTGTGCTATCACGCAGTCGCACGCACGCGTCGTATGTTTTTCGCTCGGAACAGCGACCGAGCGCGGCGCGATTGATGCTGTTTCTGAGAGTGCAAAGGATTTTATTGTCTATTTTAAAAGAAATGCACGTATTTAGGACTGTTGATTGGCTAAATAAATTTTACTATCATACATTGAATTTTTAATTCCCGAATATTTTACTTTGCTTATTAAGACTTAGCATTAGCAAGTGGCCGGGACATTAGGTACCTAATGTTTTGAATGACTTTATTTTCTCGTAGTGTTTTGTTGAATGTTTTAAAGTTGTTCATAGAGTTGGTACCAATATAGTATTTCTTGATAAAAAGTTAAATTATAGAGGAGGTATAGGTAATTTAAGTTTTGAAGAGTGTGACGTGTGCGTTGTAAAAAGGTACTTTGTGAAAAGATAGGCATATTTTTTGTAAATATATAGTGTTAAGTGGCGAATTGACGAATACTAGCACATCGGGAACAAACCCTTTATTGCATTATTTTGGAATAATATTGCAGAAAATAAAATAACAGCCACTTTTGATCGCGTAAATCGTAGTGAGTTAAAATATAATAAAAATAAGTTGTTTATGTAAATTTGGTACTTAATGATATACCTACAAGTTACAATCGTTTTTCATTTGCTGTAATTGCACGAAATTGCAATATTAGCAAATAATATAAGCATTAGCAATTAACATAAGAATTCGCAATTAATTGAATTAAATCTAATCAGCATTAATGCCCAATACTAGAAGCTCGGGGTGCTTAACAGATCGAGACAATATTACTCTCCGGCCCATCGCCGGATGCTTTATTTGGTCTAAGTTCGGCTGCATATATTGTTCTTATCTTTTTGCAGAATCAAGGTGCCAGTTCCTCGATTTGGATCAGCTATTGATAGAATATTTTCGATCAGCATAGTGTCAGTCACATAGCTGGCTTTACTTTGCATTCTCTATTGCTGGTATTATGACTTTGCATTCGATATCGCTTGTCTTATGTCTGTGTCCCGCAAGGTTAGGTAGAGACTATATAAATATTCAAGTTACAATACGCACTGACTGTTTCGTTATTGTAGTCGCTAGTGTATATATTATGGTTGTGGCATGCGAATCATAAGGTCTCGGTCCGTCTTTCTTCAATTCGAGATTGTTTTGTTTTAAGCCAAGGACAAAATTCACATTGTTGTTAAGGAGCGCGTTTACCCGTACAAGCAAAAGCAAAATGGCTGCGAAAGACAGAATGACACAGACACGAGTAATCATTACAAGGAAAAAATCTTAATACGTTACCGTATTTATCATAATTTACTATTTAAGATATGAATCACTTTTACAGAAATACCTCCCTCGTACTGATTTACTAAATAAATTAAGTATCTTATATCGTCGTATTATGCTGTTTTTTTTTTAAATGAGATTAATATACAATTTTTTACCCACTTTGCAATATAGTGTTGGTAATTAAAAAGATAGTGAATGGAAATAATCACTAAACTAAGACTTTTTATAAAACTTGAAGCAATTATTACGACATATTCTCGTTTTTATTTTATGTTTTGGATTAAAGGTATTATTTTAAAATGTTTTCATGCTGCACGCTGATTTTGTTCCTATTTTATTAATCTACACTCAAAATATATATCAGGGGTTAATGGTTTTTGAATTTAGTGAAAATTTTTAAGCAATAGTCAAATATATAATTAATTCATGATTTACCGAAATAGTACTTTTTCTCGACCATGATTTAGACTGTGCTTTATTATAATAGAATGGCAATTCATTTTAACTTGCATTAGCGGTTTTTACCGCTAGAGTCGTCTTTTGTACGCACGAAATAATTTAGAGGATAAATCAAATACCTCGACTTATTGTTCACCGTCTAGGTTAATTTATTACTTGAATATTTACAAATTACAAGAAATTATGAAAAAAAATCAGAAAATTCAAAAAATAACCTAGAAAATAAAGATATGTCACCCCGAAATATACTAGCTGCTACTATCAAATGCAACTGCAACCTATCTCCCGTGGCAACAGTAACCTATCTCCTTCCCGAGTGCCCTACTCCTTTCCTACTTCCCACCACCTTTAGAAGATGCCTCTCGCTGTGATCGACTGATGACCCCAGATAGACACTAGATCTAACATTATGCTAAAAATATAGATCTGCATCCGAGGCCTTGCTGATACCTAGGGGCGTCCCTATCTCTTGCTGATCGTAGCGGTTTCCCATTACATTGGATTCAGAGAGGTAGGGATAAAAGTGTACCTGTGTTCGCGCACACACTGTCATTTTTAACGTTTCATGCACTTTAATATCTGGGCATTAAGTCCGCCGATGTACAAAAGTGTATAAATAAATAAATAAATATCTCCTGAGCAATTGACTTGGCTCTAACAACGGACTCCGACAAACAATAGCCCTGCAGCGATGGACAGAGGTAGAGAGGTCTAGGTGTGATAGTAGTCATGCCAAAGTCTAGATATGCGTAACACCTACGACCAGGCAGTTAGTGATGCAGTCCAAAAGACGTTGAGAATAGTGATGCTGTGGCAAACGCTCTCGTCCAATCTAGTCTCCGTGGAGGAGACACAAGCGAAACCCCGAAAGCATCGTTCTCTCTTGCTTTGGTACCATAACGCTCACCAGACGGAGCAAGTCAAGCATAGTGGTGCCGAGCTACGAAAATATGTACAAGAAATAAAGGACAAGAAGACAAAGCCGTGTGCATGCAGTGGCATGTCGATATCAAACAGCAATTAGTATTAGAGTGCCCCTGACATCAGTGCACATAATTGCTTACCAGCACGAAAGATATACTTAACGGGTGGGAAAAGCATTTTAAAACCATGCTCAATGTTGGCCGAGCTGCGGACATCACAAACATTAGCTCCATGGAAACACTCCCCACGATCAAGAAGCTAGATGACTCACTGACTCTGTGCGAGGTAACTGATGCCATACAAAATAAGGACAACCAAAAAGCAGTTGGGAAAGGAATTTCACCTAACCATTTGGAAGCTGCTCGTTCAAATGTGAGATGAGGAATGAGTACCTGAGATGACTTTCGAGTCTCTGATATTTGTTCCCTGTACAAGAACAAAAGAACCGCTCAATGCCCTGTTTAAAAACATACTGTCTGAAACCCAATTTGCACCAAATTAGGGTTATGCTGGTTTTACAGATGTGATTTAACATGAAACATAAAATAATAATTCTAAACTAATATACACTTATTAGATAACACTTTGATAGTGGATTTTTTCTATTAAATATAAGTGTCTTAAGGTTATATAGGTAAAACAAAGGTTTCTGTTGTATGATATTATAACAGACTTGCGGGACACAACATTTAGTGAGCCAAAAAGATAGATAATTGTGCTAAATATATTACACTTTATTTCATTAGAGATTAGATTTGTTAATTTATATTTTTTAAATACTTTTTGATATAGTACAGTTTTTTGTTATTTCGCAGAAAAAGAAATGATATAATGTTATATTATTAAACAACTGGACAAATAAATGTTACCGAGGAAATGATGTACCTGCAAGACTATGCCTAGTACTATGTTTTTTTGTAATTATTCTAAATCATTAACAGCATTATTTGTATACAATGTAATAAATTCTACAAATTTGACCTTACGCAATATTTTTGCATATCATAATAGGTGGAAGATGCAGGAATCTTTTTATAACTGTAAACTGTGCTAAAGTTTGTTTTAATTTTACTCAAGGCAAAGTTACTCTTTAAACAAAACTATTTGAATCGATGTTAGTATTTCTAGACCATCCAATGATCCTATTTACACCCTTTATGGTTCCATGTCTGTTATTTACGGCCAAAAAGGTTGGAAAATGTAAATCGGTAGTTTCTTTCAGCGTAACGATTTTCTTTTGTTTGTGGGTCATGGAAACCTGTTCTACAAGAATAAAGGGTTTTTTTTAGTTTTGCTGCTCACACATTTAGTACACAACTCTTAAAGACATTTAACTACGTACATGTAGTCGATCGACCATAGAAATACTAACTTTTTTAAAACATTTTTTTTTTTTAGTTAGTGTATTGTCATCGGTCCTCGATATATCTACAAAGTTTGAACCGAATTCTGACCGTCAAAATCACGCCCAAAGGAGTCGGTTACAAACAAACACACAAAAAAAAAAGTGTAAAAAGAGTGTGCACACTTTATTGATTTACCGGTATGTTGTTGTGTATATCGTAGTGTATATTAGCATGATCTGCATATCTGTTATTTGTCTTGTTATATATTATTGCTATATCAGCAGTTCCCGGAACTCCCGTATTACAGGCGCAGAGTGGCTCACCGTGTGGTTTTAGTTGGTCCGATTCCGACACACCACCCCGCCGCCGCCGTCGCTGTCGTGGGTGACGGCCCGAAGGAGTTTCGACACCTTAAAAAAGGGGCGTGTATAAAGATCTGATATAAAACAGAAGGGTTATAGTGCTATGTCTCTTAAACTACTTACCATCAAGCTGTCTAGCTAGATGGTACACCATTATATAGTTTAAAAATAGACAATATTGTTACACCTCGAGCTACTTGTTAAAAACTTAAATACTTTTCTTTATCTCATAAGTTCCAATGGTCTAACGTTTAATCGTTTTTATGTTAAATATAGGTTGTTCTTAAAAACAGTAAAATCAGAACATTTGGATAGTAGCTCTGAATATTATAATTCATTACACGTTATTGAAAAGAGATAGAGTAGAGTAAAAATATTAGAGTCCTTAACTTGAAATTTTGACGAAGCACTTATAGGATGGTAATACGCTTGTATCATGTATAGTTACAAATTTCATTCTGTAACTTCCTCAGAAAAGCTCACATACTGTGAAACTTATATAATACTAAACTGTTGTGCCACCTCTTTTATATTGATTAAAATAATATAAAAAAACACAATAATATCAAAATCAGTTCCAGCGCTTATAACGAATGGGCAATTAACCATTTGAATTGAAGTCATTAGAATGGTTTTCATTGTAAATTTTTATACCCAATAACAGTGCCCTTTAATTTATCTGTAAAAACGCAACTGTTATCGTAAGACGTATGTATGTTAATTAAAAAATATAACATTCAACCCACCAATGGTACCCATTAATGTCATTTTTAATTAACATATCTATATGTTAAAACAAAGTTTGCATTCACAACCGGATTTTATTGTTTTATTAAATATCCGGTAAAGTTGTCACTGACTTATCTCTATTTAGAAATTCTGTTTTTCTTTTTAATATGAAAAGTGTGGCTTCAATGCTTAAATACTAGCATTAGTTTATTCTACATCATTTATCATTATGTACTAACATGGTAAAGCAGTGTTAATTATTATTTTACCCAAAAATTCAACATCTTGGCAATTTCTAATCATCGACAATATGTCAATTCTATCTTTCTATCCAAATTTATAAAGCGTCTTCCTTCCTTCTCAATCCTTATGAAACTGGCTTTCAACTCAGTCATTGTATATATGGGCGCTGTACTGATTTTATATTAAAAGAATGTTGATATGACGTCATAATGAGTGCTAAATAAATTAAATTTAAGAAGTATCGTGTTTGATATCTATTTTAACATTAATATTTAATTTTAATATCCACTTTGTTTAACTCATAATTCATTAAATTTTATTATAATTAAATCATGTAAAATTATAGTATGTATTGACTTACATTAATCAAAAATAGATTTGACATCATATCAGCACTAATATAAATTAAATAAAGGAGTATTGTTATGATAATCTTAAAAAGTAAGTAGTATTTATTTATAATTATATCTTAATCTAATTTAAAGTTATACTGTATTAATTTTAAGATTTGCATATTGAAACGTGATTATGTAGTAATATCGCTAAACAATATTGACTGTTATAAAACGTTCCTTTAATAATGTTAATATTAAATAGGAATTAATTATAAATCAGATTAATTATTATGTAGTAACGGTTAATTTCAGTTTTGAATTGAGTTTACATATTATTTTAAGACGGAAATGGTTTAGTGTATAAAAGGTGAATATTGTTGGCGGTCGAGACAGTTTATTGAAACTACCCGAAGTGTAAACATTGTTAATATATTTCTTAAAATACACAGTTCATTGTAAAGTGTGAAGTAATTATTTGTTCGACAATATGGACGCCGAGAACCCTATTCCTGAGGCCACGCCGACATATATACTAACAGACTTAGACAATATTGCAGTCAATATTAAATTATAAAAAAAATGTAGCAACCTGAATGTGTTTGCACGTTTGGAATATTTAATGTATTAAACACAGTGTATATTTTCGTCTATTTAAATTTGTAAATTGTACTACTCAAATTCGTGACATCATACTCATTTTTCACTTCCGCTGTTAACATATACTCGTAACGATTAGCACGCTCTGTATCGTCTGCCACGCGACGTAAAATCAACTCGCAAAATTGCTTTAAAGATTTATGTTTGTTGCTAAGTAGGTAACTCGTGGATTATCAATATTTTATTGACGATTTTAAACTTTTTTATGACCTTTGTTTCCCTAAAACACTTATTTTGACAAAAGTAAATAGTAAACCAAAATGGGTTTCGAATGGAATCAAAATCAGCAGTAAAAGAAAAAGGCACTTATTATGGAACATAAGAATAATACCCTACTACAGAAAATAAAATAAAGTGTAAGAATTACTGCAAAATATTTAAAAGAATCTTAATCTTAACTAAACTTGCACAACAGAATTTTAAATAAAAATATAATTAAATAAGTCTAACACGGCATGGCACATAATAAATAAATCAAGATTAAATTTACCTAGTAATACTATTAATAACATAGAAACTGCTGATGGAAGTATCATAAATGATCCTACAGAAATGGCTAACATTTTTAACAACAATTTCATTAACAAAATAAACCCAATACCGGCTGCTGGAGAAAACGTTACCTCTTCAATTAATAAACCAATGAACTCAATGTTTTTGGCACCAAGCACGTCCTCTCAAACAAATAAATTTATAAAAAATCTAAAAAATACGAACAGTTAGGACAAGATGGCATAAACACTAAAATAATTAAAGCAGTTAATGAAGCCATCAGCCATCACCTTAGCCAATAATTAACCTATGTATCTCAAAAGGAATATTTCCGAACGATCTCAAGCTTACAATTATTAAACCTTTATTTAAAAAGGATAATCGTTTATTAATCCAGAATTATAGGGCAATTGCACTGCTCTCAACGTTTTCAAAAATATTTCAGAAATATCTGTACGGCGAAATTAAATCCTTTAAATCATTAAAATAAAAAATATTGTGCAAGCAACAAAAAGGATTTCGGCAAGAGAAGACAATTAATATGGCAATTTACGTATTTCTTGAGAATGTTATATCACACGTTGACAAAAAACTCCTGTTTGTGCAATCTTAGACTTACTGAAATTTTATTTAACTGATAGGCAACAGATAACAGAAATAAAAAAAGTGAATCCTTTAACAAAAACTGAAGAAAGATATACCTCTGTAAGGCATTGCGTTTCAAATGGTGTTCCCCAGGGGAGTGTACTGGGCCCACTCTTGTTTATCATTTACATTAATAACTTGACAAATGCCACAAATCAAGCAATGACATTATTCGCTGACATTAACCAATATGGACTTGACATAAATAACTCGATGATATCTATCGATGACAAATATAATGCATTTTGACCAACAAAAAGTAACCCATTAAATATAAATGTTATTTATGAT